TAAGTAAGAGCCTCCTCTCTCTCTCTCTCTCTCTCTCTCTCTCTCTCTCTCTCTCTCGCCGTGCAAGGTGCAGGGATTTTTCAACAGGCCTCCGCCCTTCTTCCGAACGGTTGCGCCCGCGGGACACGGATGCTGGTCTGGTTTACCCACGCGTTTTTTGCAGCGATATTTTATCATATAAAATAGCGGACATCCATCGCATTTCCATTGAAATGGCAGCTGACGTGGCGGCAGCCATTGGCCGCCGCGCGCTCTTGAGAGCTCCCTTCGCGGTGCCCCGTTGCTGGTCGCTCTCTCATCCGGTCGTTCGATCGCGCGTAATTTTATAGCAATTTTCCTCGTTTGCGATCATATTATTATAATGCCGCACCACCCGCGGCGGATTTAAATATCTTTGACGTGCCAAAGTTGGCATAGTATTAGTTTCATGAAGATTTCCGTTCGTTTACAACGAAAAATTGGCTCAAATTCCAATACGTGTCAGAAAAGTAATGTCATATTAAGTGAAATATAAATTTCATAGCAATTTTCAAGAAACACGAATATTTCGAAATGATATATCCTAAATTGAATTGAGAAGATGCCTCAGGTCGATGGATAAATCACGAAACGCAGCCCTGCCCTTCACGTCAGCTTATCTGCATCGAGGCAAATGAATTTACTAATTGGAACTCGTTCGAAAATTACAGCAATGTTTCAGTTTATCGCGATAACACTTATTACTCGTTAGCAGTGCCTCTAAATTTGCCCTCGTTAATGGAAGTACACGATTAAAGAAATTAGCAGACGCACGCTGTAAGAGATAACGCGGCTGTGGGTGTTATTCTTCGAATGCTGGAAATGCTGCAAAAGTACTCGATACTCAGTTACCGGTACGCGTAAAACGGGCTTCCTCACGTGCGTTGAATCTCTCCCAAAGTCCGAAGACGAAACGCGGCTTGGCACGCCATCGATGGTAACGGAGATTGAAACGTTTCTGGTCCCCGGGGCCTCTTCTAGACAAGACGAGACGAGACGCGAACGAGCGGAGCGGAATGCGGCGGGCGCGATGAAGAAGATTCCATAAATATCTGTGCTCGAAGTGGAGGAGAGAAAGAGGAAGACGATGAACGGAGAACGAGAAAAAGAGAAAAGGAGAGAGAGGAAGAGAGAGAGAGAGAGAGCAGCATAGAGAATGGGAGAGAGGGAACCAATGGAGGCAGGCTCATGGTAGCCCGCGGTGCTGCGCCTTGTGCATTTAACATTTTCGAACCAATCGCGTATTAGCATAATTACGTTTTGCCGGGGCCCGATGCGCGGAAGGAAGGCCCGGTCAGGCCCTTTTCCTTTCTCTCTCTCTCTCTC